AGCGTCAGTGCTAGCCCAAAGGCTAACAGGCTAATCTGAGGTTCTTCTTCCATGAAGCAGCTCTGTTGTCCTCCATCCATATAATAAATTTTTAGCCTTTTAGTTTAAAAATGATAAAAACTAAACAGCCTACAGTATTTTTACAGTTTTTATTTTACAGTTAAAATACATGTTTATCAAATAAAGTCTAATGTTAAAATTAATCAGGGATCCCTTTAAAGCCCCCAGCAAATCAGATAAGTTAGGACGTAGCAAACATTAAAGATAAATGTAGGATAACACCTCCATCTCCATCTTCTTCTGCTTATTCATAGTCAGGTCGTGGAGYCAACAGGTCCAGGAYAGAAACCCAGACGTRCCTCTCCCCAGGTCGTCCTGGGGGACCCRGAGGCGTTRCCAGGCCAGAGAGGATARATAATCCCTCCAGCGAGTCCTGGGTCTTCCTCTGGGCCTCATACCAGTGGGYTGTGTGGAYCARCTCTAAAGGGASGAGTCCAAGAGGCATCCRAACCAGATGAACCACCTCAAMTGACTCCTTTCAATGTGGAGGAGCAGCGACTCTARTCGGAGCTCCCTCCYGATGACGGAGCTCCTCACCTCATCTGTAATTCTGAGGCCGGCCCACCCRARGAAGGAKGTTCATTTTGGCCGCTTGCYTCCASAAGGATAACGTTCTAACATTAAATAATCAACGTAAATGTCAAACATACCAGATACGTTTTTCAAATAACTCACTGGAAAAACAAACAAACAAAACAATCCTGGTGCTGCACACAGAAAACACTTATAAACTAATGTTTATTAAGTTTTATTAGCTGTACTTAAGACAGAATTTCATCAAATCCGTTCAGTCCTCAGCGTTCACCCCCCATCTTCAGAAAACATGTTTTCTTCAGTTCCCAGCAGCTGCCAACACGTTTCAGTGTTTCATCAAAACGTCTCGGCTGAGTGCCGGCAACCTTGAGATGAAGAGAAGAAAAGCTGCGTCGCTGCTCTTCCATCGAGCTGAAGCAGCCGTTAGGATTCCTCTCACAGCAGTTTACAAAGATGCTGCTGCGTGCGTTTCTCAGGGAGCTCCAGGGGAAACTAACTTTCTGAAAAGAGGCGAGTGTGTGCTTTAAGAGCATCTGCACCTCCAGAGGTCACCGTCCGGCACGAAGACGAGAGTCTGAAAAAGCCACACGATTTAACAACTTTGACCCAGTAAACACCGTAACGTTCAAAATGATCTGAAACAGATCCTGTAACAAATCAGCCAGCTTGTTTTTATAGTAAAATGACTAAGAAAATGAGTAATAGTATTTACTAAAACCCAGATTATGATGATGCTTCTGTTCTGACCCTTGAGCAGCAGATGAGTCATCAACTTATTTTAATGACTCTTTATATTACGTTCAGAAAAACACTGTTTAATTAACAGATCATTTAATCACTGCCAACTTTATTACCTGCTGCTTCTTCTTCATGAACTCATCCAAACCCACATGGAATCAATGCAGATATAAAAACATTCACCTCCTCATGTTTAAACAGAATTTAAAATCACTCTTTGTGCTTCTTCTACTTCTTACTTTGAGGCACCAAAAACCATAAAAACATTCAGACTGTAAAGATAGAAACTATAATTTAACAGCCACAGTTTCATTTGTCAATTATAAGTTAAGTTTAGTGGACAGCCTCTATTATMAATCTAGTTTATTATTTAAATTAATCTGCTGATGGTTGCTGCCTTTATACTACTAAGATTATTTTATTGCAGTGTAAAGCTAAATATTTTTTTCTTTATGRTTTTCAGGATTTAGTTTGTGGTTTGAATGCACATATTTTAAAATACTTTCTTAAACGTGTTTGTTTTATTGCTCCTTATTGATCTACAGCTGTTTTTATTTGTTTATATTGCCACTAGAAGTGCAACAATAKATGCATCTGWATTCAATCCTTCAATACAGTGATCAAGGTTCAATACATATTGTATGGAACTATACAAGTTTTTAAATTTTTTTTATCAACTTGTCTTCTGACGATGCTGTGTTGAAGGATCAGTGGATCTGTGTTCGACTATTTCACCTAGACTGCACTGTGGAGCTCCGATCCACTCAGAAACTCTCCGTTTCAGCAACATTTAATATAAAAACTGTACTTTATAGGTTAAAAAATGTTCAGAATTAATTTCAATAAATTACAAGTGAACAAGGCCATGGACACTTTTCTGTTTTGTTACAAAAAAATATCGAACTGTGAGACTGAATCAAACCGAACCAAATCGTGACTTTTCTGTATCGTTGCACCGCTAATTGCCACATTTACCAGGTTGGCTCTAAAGTGCATGTGACATCAGTTCTTTGAAATAAATATTAATGCATCTTTGGAAAGATAACATTGATAACATATTGCAAAAAAATAAAAAATATCACATTGTTGAGATGAACAGTAATTGAGATGTTTTCATGTGCAGTAACAGGAAGTGATGTCAGAGGGGAATGTCAGCATGTAAACAGAGCGTTGCTACAACAGCCAACAACCCAGACTGTAGAGAAGAATCTGATGTTTCTTTACATTAGTTAAAGAGTTTATGGTGGTCAGAGGGTCCGGTGGCTCCGGTGCAGGGCAGCCCCGCCTCTGTCAGTGTGCCCCAGGGCAGCTGTGGCTACACTGTAGCTTACCACCATCAGTGAGTGAATGTGTCAATGACTGAAGTGTGGACTTGATAAGGGGCTATAAGTTCAAGCCATTTACCATTTTGATGTTACTTCCTGTTTCACTTTTGCTGAGCTAATTCAAAAGAAAACCTGCCAGTTATGTGACAAAATAAAATCATGTGTCACGTTTCTTAACTGTAAAGATGTAAAAGTTTTTCTTGCATCCACGTTGAGTTGTTTTTTGGTTATTTATTCTAATTTTATGCTGGTTTGATATGCTGACATTTTACTTTGTCACATTTCAAAATTGTTAGTTTAGGTGCACATTAACTTCTTATTTACAACACTTTGCATCTAGTTTGATTAGGCATTTATGTCTGTTTTTGCACACCGGCCTGTGTGTTTATTTATTTGATAGGTTTTCATAGTTGTGTTGATCTCTTTTGAAAGGTTAAAATAAAAGTATTTAAATTAAGCTTTTTTTAATGGTCCTTAAAAAGGTAAAACAAAAAATGATGAATAATTATTGATCTGGATGAATGTGAAATTTTATATTGTGACACATTTTTCAGCCATATCACCCAGGCCTAGGTGTGATTCTAATAATCCATAATCCATAATCGTCTAATCATGCCTGAAGAGTACCAGTGATCGAAGTCAGCTCAGTCCAAACATCCTGCTGTGTGTCTCTTGGGGGC